TCCCTCTTGCTGTTCTGGCTTCTGAGATTCAGAATATATTTTTTCTTGTTTTCCTCCTCCAAAAACTAGGTGCGTCTTGTGGTCTGGTGCGTCTTATAGAGCGAAAAATACGGTATTTATTTGTTTCAAAACATTTAGATCTTCACCTTTCTTAAAAAAGTTCAAGGCGGACCTGTAGAAACTGCCTGCTTCCCTATGGACCTAACATTTGCTGGGATGCCATGAAGGCCGGATTTACGGTAGGTTTGATGAGGCCCTAAGCTCCTGAAGGTAATGGGGCCCTTTATATGTCCAGCTCTCCTTTGTCAACAACAAATTGTCGCTGTTTTTTGTGTTGAATATATGCTATACGGTCATTTATGGACCTAGTAGGTATCTCAAGCCATTTGCACATAACAAAATATGCATTTTATCAAAGTAATTGTTGAAAAGTCCATGCCGAATGCAAAGTCCATGCAGAATGTAGGGCACCCTATATATAGAAAGGAGCGAACCAGTGATATTTTAGGGAGCAGACGGGGCCATGACTTACTTCATAGGAGCCTACACAACACAAAACACTGTTGCTGTATGCAGGTTTTATTTTATTTGGTTTTTTATCCTATATTTTGGAAATGTACATCCAGGGTTTTTTTTCCTTTAAATTTTTTGTGGGGCCCCAAGAGAGTGGGGCCCTAAGCTATAGCTCGTTTAGCTTATACATAAATCCGGCACTGGATGCTGTATGCAAACGCGCCCGTGCCAATTTCTCAGCAACCAAATCACAGGGAGGTCTGAGGGTGGGGGGCGCTTTAAGTCATTAGAGCAGGTGCGAGAGGGACCATTACGAAAAAGGGGAGATAATTAGGGACACACAGAACTCTGTGCCTCCAACACTACTGAACCGCCATACAGTCATGAGGACTAGGAAGCCAGCACGAAGTTTAGTTTATTAAGTGGCAGCAGAGAGGTTTTTAGGAATGGGAAACTCTGCTTCTTGGGAATCCAAAACCTGCACAGTTCACAACTACATTAAGCCAGGGATGCCACACAGGCGAGGAAGTAAAAGTCTTAAAAACGCCGAATATAGGTAGAATTCCTGTAATATCCATCCTTGCTGATAAAAAAAACCCCCACTATCTCCTCCGTAACGTGCCTGAGCAGAAGCAAAGGGCGAGGGCATCCACCGCCCTGCTGAAACATGCCGGCTGGATCAAACTACGTCATATTCATAGCAAATCCACTCAAATCGAGGGACTTCAGTTAGTCATGCCCATTCAATTCAACTGGCCTCCAAACAGATACAGCTCTCCTGCCTGCAAAAGCCCTTCCCTGCCTGCGCAAGTTCAATCACGCACCGCCCCAGAAACCCTTTCCCTTTTGCTTAGCGTTCCACGACAATCAGAGAATCGCAGCGTTGAAAGGGACCCCCAAAGGACATCTAGACCAACCCCCCACCACAATGCAGGAATCCGAGCAGACTGCTTCAGAAGACCGGGGGGTGGGGGTTCTCGGGTTCTGTACTCAATTACAGAACACACCTAGGTCATTCATTTTCCCCAATTTGGACTGAATCTGATGGCGGTGTGTGTGTGCAATGCATCATAATTCAGTATTTCATTAGAAACAACAGGAGAAGGAGAGAGAAGGATGGGCTTTGGAGAATGCCATGCGTGCAACCATTTCCCAAGCCAGCAGCGGAAGCACACTCAAAGCCGAGCAAACAGGAGTAGGCATACAGTGTCCGGTTAGAGAGGGTCTTTAAGCGGAGGCCGATTGGCCACCAATAAAGTAATCTTTATAAAACTACAACTAATCCAGAATGCGGCAACTAGACTGGTGACAGGGGGCGGCTGCCAAGACCACCGGTCTTGAAAGACCTACACTGGCTCCGAGTACGTTTCCGAGCACAATTAAAAGTGTTGCTGCTGACCTTTAAAGCCCTAAACAGCCTCGGTCCAGTAGACCTGAAGGAGCGTCTCCACCCCCATCGTTCTGCCCGGACACTGAGGTCCAGCTCCGAGGGCCTTCTGGCAGTTCCCTCATTGCGAGAAGCAAAGCTACAGGGAACCAGGCAGAGGGCCTTCTCGGTGGTGGCACCCGCCCTCCCATCAGATGTCAAGGAATAAACAACTACCTGACATTCAGAAGACATCTGAAGGCAGCCCTGTTCAGGGACGTTTTTAATGTGTGACATTTTAATGTATTTTTAATCTTTGTTGGAAGCCGCCCAAAGCGGCTGGGGAAACCCAGCCAGATGAGCAGGGTACAAATAATAAAATTATTATTTATTATTATTATTATTATTGGGCATGGGGGTTGATTGGATGGCCTCTGGGTAGCCTCCCCCGCCAACGCCGGCTCCTTACCTGCCACAGCAAATACCCTCCCAGGATGGATTCTTGACTCAGCTGCAGCTGCTGCTGCTGCGCTATGGTGACGCCCAGCACCAGGGTGTGGATGGCGCAGGTGACGGCCGAGATGAGGACGATGGGCGTGAGGCGCAGAGGGAGGGTGAGGAAGAAGGAGAAGACGAAGAAGGCCTGCCAGCCCACCGTGTCGCTGGCCTCGTGGTAGCGGGCATAGTTCAGGCCCAGGTAGCAGAATATCTGGGCGGCTATGAGGATCCACAGGATGTAGGGCATGAATTTGCGGGTGACGCGGTCCGGGAGGAGCTGGTACTTGCATAGGACGAAGAGGAGGATGTGGGCGGCCAGCCCCACCGAGGCTGCCAGGGTGGTGGGCAGCTTCTCGGCGGTGTAGACCACCGTGCACATGACGACGACGTAGCAGTCGAAGAGTGCGGCAAAGACCACCAAGACCAGAAGGGTCTCGTGGCGCTGCCTGCGGAAGTAAGTCTGGTAGAGGTTCTCCAGGGATTCCGGGGCGAACGTCAGGCGCATGAATCGCGGCAGGCAGAGGCAGGAGCCAGAGTTCCTCACCGTCACCTCGTGGGTGCGCCCGACGCCATGCTCGGGGTCGGACGGCAAGCTGACCGAGTAATCGGCCGAGTACTCCGCCGAGTACTCGGGCTCGGAGAAGGCCCTGTTCCGAGGCATCTCGCTCGCTGTCGTCGACCGTCAATCTGCGAAGAGGATCTGCTGACAAAGTTACCTCAGCAGTGGTCCAGCTCCCATTAAAAGCGGGACACAGGCGCGGAAGCTTCCGGAGCAATTATTCAGGCCAGTGTGAAGCGATGTCTTTCACAGTCCAGCGTGCGCACACCTCTGGCAGAAAGAGAGAGGGAGGGGGGAATGTGTTGGTCACCCAAAACGCACATGGCCTCCATTTTAATGCCAACCTCCGGCCTAGTGCAGCAACCCCCCCCCCAGCAAGCAAGCAGCAGATCGCCACAAACAGGCTGCACCCAAAAGCACACTTCTCTCTGCTTTCATCCGAACCCCACCCAAACGAATGTTTTTGTGCTGAGAGAATTCACATGCGGGAAGGTGGGGAAACAGCTGTCCAAGCGCCAGAGGAACTTTCATCGGAAAACGGTTCAAGAAGCAGATGAGAGGGGCTGTTCCTGCAAAGTCCAAAGAATTGGAACTGCAGACCACCCCCTCAAACACAGAAGGGAGATAGGAAAGATGCTGGCAAATCACTCCGCTGGCAAATCGATCCCTATCGGCTCGGCTTTAGCAAAATTCTTGGCCAGGTGTTGAACATCTCCCGCCCTTCCGCAGCCCTTCCAGGCGGCGAAGGTTTCAGCATCCAGATGTGCTCGGAAAAGGCAAGCAGGACTAGTGGTCAACAAGTTGGTCCCCAGGGGAGCACGCTCCCTTCCGTAAAAGCCAAGGGGCCTTCGGACCCTCCAATAAAATACTTGAGGGGGCCTGGCCTCTCCAAAGATGATGGGCATTGCCATTCAAATGGTGTGTGCGATCGATTAAGCAGGGTGGCGCCTACTTGGGGCCCCCAATATTTGATCCAAGTTGGCACCCCGGCACCCTTCCCCACCCTGCTGCCTCCCTCGCAGTGGCGTAGCGTGGGGGGTGCAGGGGGGCCGGCCGCACCGGGCGCAACATCTGGGGGGGCGCGCTCGCACTCGCAGCTCTCTGCCCCTACCTGGCTCACTCACTCTCCACGGGTTAGGGGGCGCAAATTACTTGCCTTGCCCCAGGTGCTGACAACCCACGCTACGCCACTGCTTCCTCGGTTTCCCCACCCACCGACCCCCAGCGTCCCTCGCCCAAAAAAGCCCCTTCTCCCTCCTTACCATCTTCCCCAAGGGTGTGTCTCCAAGCCGGCGTGGGTCAAGTCTTGGGCTCAGGCCCCGTCAAAAGGACCCGGAAGGCTGGCACAGCCGGCCAGCTCTTTCCCACGGAGAGAGGGAGCGGCGGGGATGCGCGCAGGCTCCATTCAAGCTTCCTCCGGCATCTCTTCCCCGTCTGCCAGCTGGAAGAAATGGGGTTGCCAGCGACGGAGCTGGCATCCAGCAGAAGGGAAACCGGCGCCGCCACCTCTTCCCGGACTCCCAAACTAAAGGAGCATCTTTCCCAAAGAGCCACGTTTCCTTTGCCAGCAGAACGGCCCGGCTCGGCTCCTTCAGGCTCCCTTGCTCATCGCATCCCTCCCCGCCCGGTTCTGCCTCGCTGGCGTCTCGGACCCCGGCCTCGACGGGCTGGCTCTGCCGGCTCCCCTGCCTCTCTCCCCGGCCTGGGGGGCGTTCTTCCCGTCGCCTGGAAGACCCGCGGAGCGCCTGGGTCGGGCGGCTGCGCCTGGCGCGCGTCGCAGGCGGAGGAGAAATGCGCGGATGGATGGAGAGGGAAGGAGGGAGCGAGGCAGAAATCTCCTCCCCAGCGCAACGCCAAAAGTGTGTGTGCGCCAGGCAAAAAAAATAATAAAGAGGAGGGAGAAGGAGGAGCGAAGCGAGGCCTCCGCGCGGGTGATGGCAGAGGGTGGAGAGAAGGAGAAACGAACTCAAACAAGTGCAAGGGGGAAGCCGGAGGCGCACGTGTGCCTGCGTGCGCCCGGGCGCAGCTGCAACTGATGGGAGGCGATTTCTCCCGCAGAAAAAGGCAGAGGCAGCAGCGCCTAGTGGTTAGCGGCGGCGGAGGGAGGGAGAGGTTGGGTCTCCCAAGGAACCCAGGCCAGACGATGCCGAGCTAAGACTCTCCAGGCCAGGAAGGAAGAGGAGGAGAGAGAAGGTCCCCTTGGCTACCCAGCCAAAGCGCGCTGCTTGGGAGGGCGCCTCTGCCGCAACTGCAACGGCCTCGGGGCTCCGTCGGAGGAGGCTGAGCCGCCGGGTTTCGCCGGCCCGCGCCGCCTCCGGGGTGGCCCTCGCCCGGGCTCCGGCCAAGGAAGACCCGCTGCAACAGGAGGAGCCGCTTTCGTGGCTCTGGCTGCGCTCCGGGCGGCCCGGCTTGGCCTCTCCCACGCTCCGCTCCGGGGCTGCGGAGCCTGGGAAAGGGAAGGAAGGACCTTCCCAAATCCCACCCTCCGCCGGCCGCTTGCAGAGGTAACCCTTTCCGCCCCGCGCCCAGGAAGGATGCGAGGGGAGGAAGGAAGGGCGCTCTGCACGTGCTCAGGAGCGCGCCGCGCACCATCAGCTGGCGGGGTGCTGGCGGCCGGCCTTGGTTTCCTTGGGGGCTGGACGTAAGAAGAGCTTGCTGGATCAGGCCAGTGGTCCATCTTAGCCCAGCATCTTGTTTTCCCAGTGGTCAAGCACGTTACCTGTGGGAAATCCGCACGCAGCATTTGAGCAGAAGATGCTTCCTGTGATTTCTGGAGGCAGAGCAAAGCGCATACCAAATTTTCTGGTGAATTCGCATTGCGAAATGCACTGCCATTCTACCCCAACTTCAAACGGGAATATTATTCTAATAAATAGATGGGTTAAGAGGATTATCATTTCATAAGGGTTTGGGTCAATAAAGGTAAAGGGACCCCTGACCATTAGGTCCAGTCGTGGCCGACTCTGGGTTGCGGTGCTCATCTCGCTTTATTGGCCGAGGGACCCGGCGTACAGCTTCCGGGTCATGTGGCCAGCATGTGGCGAACCAGAGCAGTGCATGGAAACGCCGTTTACCTTCCCGCCGGAGTGGTACCTATTTATCTACTTGCACTTTGACGTGCTTTGGAACTGCTAGGTTGGCAGGAGCAGGGACAGAGCAACAGGAGCTCACCCCATCGCAGGGATTCGAACCGCCGACCTTCTGATCGGCAAGTCCTAGGCTCTGTGGTTTAACCCACAGCGCCACCCGCATCCCGTTTGGGTCAATATACAAGCCCAAATTGCCAACACCATCCAAGGTGGTTGTGAGGAGTACAACTATATAACGTGAAGTGCTTTCATCACTTGATGGTGAGGATTTTCTCTTCTTCTTGTAACTATTATTTTGGGTTGCCATATGTCCGCTGGAAACAGTGTCCGGGTATAAATCGCTGAAATGTCCTGGGGGAGAAAAACCTTCATTTTATTTTTTCACTTTTTGAAATATGGCAACCCTATACTGTATTATTATACTTCATTGTGTCAGAAAGTATTTCTGCAATTTCACTCCAGTTTAAAACGAGGATATAAAATGTACTGGGTGTGACAAGTGGAAACTGCCTGAAACCCAAGGAAGCTGTTGTCAGTCTGTGGAGTCAACACTGGGGCAGAATCATAGAAATGTACCATTGTAAGGGACCCCAAGGGTCATCCAAACCAACCCCCTGCGATGCAGGAATCTCAGCTAAAGCATCCATGACAGATGGCCACCCAACCTCTGCCTAGAAATCTACAATGAAGGAGAGACCACCACCTCTTGTGGGAGTCTGTTCCACTGCTGAACAGCTCTTACTGACAGAAAGTTCTTCCTGAAGTTTAGTCAGAATCTCCTTTCTCAAAAATTTGGTTCGAGTCCTATCCTGCAGAGCAGGGGAAAACAAGCTTGCTCCATCTTCCATGTGACAGCCCTTGAGGAATTTGAAAATGGCTGTCCTATCTCCTCTCCGTCTCCTCTTTTCCAGGCTAAACATACCCAGCTCCTTCAACCGTTCCTCATAAGGCTTGGTTTCCAGACCCCTGATCATGTTGGTCGCTTTTCTCTGCACACGTTCCAACTTGTCAATATCCTTCTTAAATTGTGGTGCCCAGAACTGGACACAGTATTCTAGGTGGGGTCTGACCAAGGCAGAATAGACTGGTAATATTACAGTGGTACCACGGGTTAAGAACTTAATTCGTTCTGGAGGTCCGTTCTTAACCTGAAACTGTTCTTAACCTGAGGTACCACTTTAGCTTATGGCGCCTCCTGCTGCCTCTGCTGCGCGATTTCTGTTCTCATCCTGAAGCAAAGTTCTTAACCCGAGGTACTATTTCTGGGTTAGCGGAGTCTGTAACCTGAAGCGTCTGTAACCCGAGGTACCACTGTACTTCCCTTGATCTGGACACTTCAAGACTTGTGTTGATGCAGCCTAGAATAGAATTCACATTTTCTGCTGCTGCATCACACTGTTGTGTACACACTATGCCTTTAAAGTACATTTGAAGCACATTGTTTCCATCAAATATTCCGGGCACTGTTGTTGGTTAAGGGTTGCTGGGAATTTTCTAACTGGGGAAAGAGGAATAAGGGTAATTAACAAATAAATTAAACAGGTTAGAACATATAAATTAAACAGGGTTAGCGCTTTACAAAATCAGCTTATTTTTAAATGCCATTTAAAATAACAGCCCCCCCCCCTTTAAAAGTAAACATGAAACCTTAAGGTGACGGTAACACATTTAAGTATAATATTTACCTTATTTTACCTTTACAGCTAATAATAAACAAAGAGCATCTTGCTATTTTTATTACCTTATAAAGTTTGTCTGGCTGGTTTTATACCACATTTGAATCACCACAGCGATTGGGATACAGCGAAAGGTGTTGGCAAAGCAGTAGAGCGCAGACATTTGGTGGCAGCAGTTGGAAGGTGAATAAGCCATGGTAAATAAAAGCTGGTTTTCCTCACATATCAAGAATAAAAGTGGGGCTGTCTCTCCACACCAGGGTTTAGGATTAGGTACAAGAGGGCATTTATTAGGCCAAGCACTTTGTGGAAAAGGTGGCTTTGAGGAGGGGTTTGAAAGAAGTAATAGAGGCGGGATGTGCAAGGCAGTTCCAGGTATAAGGAGAAGAAAGAAAGGGATGTGTTTAAATAAAATAAAATCCTATCCTCCTAGTGGCCCACCAGAGGATTGTGACAGCAGATCATCACCATGTTGGCTATCCTTTAACTCCATTAATGGATGGTTGCCATCACTGCATAGCTGTCACAGATTTGAAAATAAGGGACCAGCAGCCTCGAAAATAAGGGATCAGCAGCCAAAATAAGGGATTTTCCAAGGGCCACAGGTATGTTCAACTTCTGAGCCCCTCCGAGCCAAAGGCAGAAAGCCCAGCCAGCAGCCAAACGAAGCCTCAAGCGGTGGTTCCCACAGTGCAGCAACCCGGCAAAGGGGACGCAGCAAGGAAAACCACCGTCACCTCTCCGCTGGGAAGCGCTGAGCAAAGGCGAGTCCCCAGGCAACGCGGCCGATTTAATCAGCACAAGGCATGCAAGCTCCACCCCCCCCCGTCGTTCTTAGACTCCTTATTGGGTGAGCAATGCAGCCAAGCAACACAGTTGGAGCCTCCCTCCTCCCTGGCCGGCAGGGAGGGAGGGAGAGGAGCTGCTTCCTTTGAAACCCGGGAAATTTAAGGGACATCATCAATAAGGGACAGCAGCAGGACATGGCGCTGGGATAAGGGAGTTTCTCGTGAAATAAGAGACGGTTGACAGCTATGCATCACTGCCTCCTGTGGAAGTGAGTTCCAAGGTTTAACTACATTACATGAAGAAGTCCTTTCTTTTATCTATCCTAAATCTTCCAGTGTTCAGCTTCGTTGAATGTCTACTAGTTGGGGACGCAGCTACGCAGCTGCAATTATAACGTTATAAAAAAGTGACACCAGATGGCACTGTAGAGCTCAATGGCAAATTGTGTATCTATTTTTTAGTGGGTTTTTCCATGGCTTGTTCATAGCGTTTTTTAATATCTGCGTAGATCCAGCCCTAGTGTTCTCAAAGAGGGAAGAAAACTTTTTTGAACCCCGCTTTCTCCATTCTTCGCCAAGTTTATACACTTCTGTTCTGTTGCTTCTTACTCAATAACTAACTTGGTTGGTCTCTAAGGTGCTACTGGAAGGAATTATTTTATTTGTTTTGTTTTGTTTTGTTTGTTTCGACTATGGCAGACCAACACAGCTACCTGCCTGTAACTGCAACATTTGTTCATAGGAGAATCATTCTGCTCCCCTTGATAATTTCAGCTGCCCCTTTTTGAACCTTTTCCAAGTCTAAAATATCCTTTGATGCTTTTGAATTCTGGTGCTGGAGGAGACTCTTGAGAGTCCCATGGACTGCAAGAAGATCAAACCTCTCCATTCTGAAGGAAATCAGCCCTGAGTGCTCACTGGAAGGACAGATCCTGAAGCTGAGGCTCCAATACTTTGGCCACCTCATGAGAAGAGAAGACTCCCTGGAAAAGACCCTGATGTTGGGAAAGATGGAGGGCACAAGGAGAAGGGGATGACAGAGGACGAGATGGTTGGACAGTGTTCTCGAAGCTACCAGCATGAATTTGACCAAACTGCGGGAGGCAGTGGAAGACAGGAGTGCCTGACGCGCTCTGGTCCATGGGGTCACGAAGAGTTGGACACGACTAAACGACTAAACAACAACATACTGAATTGCATTAGCCAGTTCACCGCCAATTCACTCAGTTTGGGCAGGTCCATTTGAAATATTTTGTAAATCCGCCATTTGAATCCCCGTGACGGGGTGAGCTCCCATTGCTCTGTCCCAGCTCCTGCCAACCTAGCAGTTCGAAAGCACACCAGTGCAAGTAGATAAATAGGTACCACTGCAGCAGGAAGGTAAATGGCATTTCCATGCACTCTGGTTTCCATCACAGTGTTCTGTTGCACCAGAAGTGGTTTAGTCCTGCTGGCCACATGACCCGGAAAGCTGCCTGTGGACATACGCTGACTCCCTCTGTCTGAAAGCAAAATGAGCACCACACCCCATAGTCACCTTGGACTGGACTCCAGGGGTCCTTTACATTTTTACCCTCATGTGCTTACAGACCAGGCACGGCTGGTTATCAACAAGATAGCTCAGTCAGTAGAACATGTAGAGCACGAGACTCTTAATCTCAGAGTTGTGGGTTTGAAGATTTCTGAATTGTAGGCGATTGGACTAGATGACTCTCCCTGGGGTCCGTCCCAACTCTACGATTTATGAGTCTATGATTTTCAGTAAACTGCTGTGAAATTCATATTCATCTTTTATGAATTTACAGTTCTTTCCTCTGCATTCATTAATACATTCCTTCTCCTTGCCTACATTTCGGTATTCATACATTAGGAGTTATGTAACGCGTTTACGTAACTTTTGTCTGGTTCCTGGTGGGACCCAAT